GGTTTTTCCCTTTTCCGAGCCAAATCTAAGAGCTGTTGGTGCTACGTCACCTCTTGAGCCATCCAAATCCCATCCAGCACTTTGGTTACAGGGGTCTGTGCGTGACCCCAGTCTAGGCCTGTTTTGTCCCTCTGGGAGCTGACACAGACGTGTGTGTTCCCAACCCACAGGAGTTCTCCACCCTCAACACGGCCAAGCCGCCGTTTGTCCGTGACGTGGAAGCCAAGGTCCGGCAGTACCTGAGGTCCTCCTACTCTGCAGTCTGGACCCTGAAAATCACCTGGGAGAGGGCACCTGTCCACGCAGCACGGACTGACACCCGGAAGGTGAGGGACTGATGGAACACAGGTGCTGTTGAATTGTCTAAAAACACCAAGGCCCGCAGGCAATGATCTTCTTTCTGCCTGAAAATAAGAACCAGTTTTGTGACAAAGGCCAGTCTTGAAGAATTTTGTCAAAAAGTACTGGGCTGTGCCCGTGTTTTGGTGGTTTTCAGGTTTTTTGAGGGACACCTTTAGTTGAACTTCCCCCATTCCATAAAACCTTTCTCTTTAAGGAGGTGGGAGTTTATTGCATACCAGAAATGCTGTTTTTCAGAGGCATAAAATTGGGTGAATTTGAAGCTTGTCATGGAACAGTTTCAAAGTAAAACCATCACATTTTCCATGTGAAATGTGAACCAGGCCTAGCTGTGTTTGCCTTGTTTCCCTCCAGACCTCAGCCTGGCCATTTCCCAGCAAGCACTGCCCCACACCCTGAGTTTTAAACCCCACATTTTCACTCACTTTCTTACCTGTCTGCAACGCTTCTCCCCAGACAATCACGTACCAGGCTGTCCTGACCACTGATGGCTTCAGGTCCTACGTCCTGATGCTGTACCAGGACGGAGGCATGCAGTGGGATTACACCAGGCTCACTTCCACCAATGTGCTCATCGGCTACACCAGGTACAGCAGCTCAGCACCCCATCCCTGCCTCCTCTGGGCACTGGGATGCATCCCACCCACAGCTCCCACTGGTTGAATCCTTCCCCCGTATCCCTGGGAGTGCCCTACAAGGATGAGGACAGCCCAGATGTGGTCTGCATGCCCATATATTCTAACATATAGGGGCCTCACAAACAAATTCACCCCATTAGGGACTGGATCATGCTGCAGCACACTGTCTTGCTGGGCTGTGCTTGTTGTAAGATCCACAAATCCCTCTGGAGTCCTGGGCCCCCAGCATCCTGGCGGTTTGGGTGGAAGGAGTGGGAAATAGGGGATGTTTGCTGAACTTTGCACCAGGCGAGGGAAGGGATTTCCGTGCTTGGCCGGAGCAGTTGCTTCCTGCCTCCTCGCATTACGTCCTGCCCTGTACACGCCGTCTCCAGGGTTTTCTCATTAGCTGCTTGCTGCAGCTGGGTAAGGAAAAGGTGGCCCGGATGGGAAGCGCGGGCAGCACAGGCGTGTGTGTGCCTGTGTCTGACCACTCGGGGCTTCTCCTCCAAATCGCCTGGCAAAATGCTGGAAACCATGGAAGCTGCTCGTGGGGGTCTCCAGATGCCTGTGGGCTCAGGCCCTGATGCAGCACCCAAAAAGTGTACCCCATATAGAGGAGGAAGCAGGCTGGGGCAGCTCATGCCTTTGCCCTCCTGTCCCAAGAGCTGTCACGTGGGTGCTGCAGTTCCACTGGCATGGGGTCAGGATGGCTGAAGGGCAGGCTGGGGCTGGGGCTGCTGGGGCTGGGATAATCCCACCAAGGAAGAGCAACCCCTGATTTTTCCTCTTTTCACTCAGTGGAGATGGCTTTTACCACAACGATGACCTGACTAAGAGACCTCCAGCTGCTAAATATCGCCCTGACCAGTTCAGGGGCTACAACACAGGTAGTGCCACACAGCTGGGGTGGGTTCACAAGGAGGGGAATATTCCCAGGGAATGAAATCCAGCCTGCCACTGTGGCAAGGCTCTCACTGACTTCTCAAGGCCAGGCTTTCCACCTCAAGCACATTTTCCCTGGGTACCCGCTATGCCCTAAGGCTGAAACATCCCTGCTGTGCCCATGGTCACTTTTTGTGCCAATGGCTCTGTTCCAAGGTTTTCTTCTTTGACAAGACCCTCTCCCCCTGTTTCCCTTCTGTTGGGTGGCTGTTGAACACAGGGTGGAGGTCAGCGTGGGCTTAGCTTCCAGCATCAGCACCACATGACTCTCACTTCGAGACAGAAAAGTCCCTGTGGTCCCCTTGGCCAAAGGTGACAGCTCATGGTTTCTCTCCCTGCTCAGACCTCCGTGGGTTGTGGATTTACAAGCTGGAGAGCCGCGTGGGCATCAACTACCGGCTGAAGTGCCTGGCATGGACGGGGCAGCAGCAGGAGCCCCGGGCATGGAGCCAGGGCCTGCCCACCTGCCCCTGCTCCCTGCAGCAAGGACAGCAGGACCCACGATTCAAGAGCAGCCGTGGAGGCAAGTGGACATGCTGCTACCTCACCCTCCCCATCCCCAAGCTGTCCTTCCCCACCTTTCCTGCAAGAGTGGCTGGGGTCCCACCTGGCAGGGTGGGCAGGTGACCCTAAGGAAAAGGAGAGGGGGACTGACCTACCCTTCAGAGACAGGAAAAGTGAGGAGGATTGAGGGCTGACCTCTTTTTGTCTTATTAGACTGGTTGGAGTTGATCTGACCTGCATGGGGATGCTGGGGACCAGGGTCTCCCCCTGGGGGACCACTTGGATGGTCTCCATCAGTTCCTCCAAACGCCTGTAGCACCGTGGGTGACGTGGTGGCAGTGCTGGCTAACGAGGAGCCCGCTCTGGCCCAGTCCTTGCCCTGAGGCAGGTGTGCTGGCCGGGCAGAGCTGTCTGAGGCTCACTGCTGCCCCATTTCAGGCAGGTGGGGTGCCCGTGTCTCCATGCTGCACTCGGCCTCCCCCAACCAGCACGGCGCCGGCGTGCGCTGCCTGTACGACAGCCAGAGCCAGCTCATCGAGGGGCGCCAGGAGAGGTACTGGAGGAACTCCAGGCAGGCCTCACCCTACCGTGGTAAGCACAGCCAGCCTTGGCATCCCCTGGCCGAGGCTGGCATTGTTGTAGCCTGTAAACAATTTTAATCTCTGTGCCAACCTGTTTCCTGACATGCTGTTTCACTTGGAGGGAATGTGGAGCTGCCAAAGGCTGAGGAAAGCCTTGCCTGGAACCGGCCCTTCTCCCTCCCCTTCCCTTCAGCCCCTCACTCTCCTTTTTGCCCCCAGACCAGGAGCTGAAGCTGTATGACTGGTGCTGTAATCGGGCGGGCAGTGCCCACCTCTGCGCCCGCTACAGTGAGAAGAGGCCGAAGATTGGCTGTGATGGATACCAGGCACCCAGCACGGGTGGGTCTGCAGCTCCTGTGCACTGGGGTGATGCTGTCTTGGTGCCCAGGGCTGGGAGGGGAGTGGGAATGTTCCAGCCTCCCTGTGGTTAAGGCAGCAAGAGCCCTGAGCAGATGGGGGAAGGGTTTTGGGCTGCTGTACCATGCCCTGGGCTGTGTGGGGTTGTGGAGGCATCTCCCTCAGCACATAACCACCAGCACAGTCTGGGGGTAATGGCACTGGGAGGTGAGGAGGACCACAGCAAATGTGGTTATGGTGTAAGCTGATGTGGGGCTTTCTTGCAACCCTCAACAGATTCCTCGGAGGAGGCAGAGAATGACTCAGATGAGCAGACAGGTGAGCAGGATTGTGGGGTCTCCTTTCCCTCTGTCCCTGTGCCCCTGCAAGAAAATGCCCTGGGGGCTCCCAGCTTGCCCCTCAGGGAGAAGGTGGCTGAGCAAATCTCATTTCTTCTTTGCAGACGGAGAGGACAAGTAACTGTGAGGTTGCACAGCTGCAGCACGTTCTGGGCCATGGCTGATCCTCCAAGCCCTTTGATCTGCTCTCCCCCGTGTCCCCCCACAGAACCCATCACCCCTGCCCACCACGCAGGGCAGCTCACTTGGCCAGTGCCTGCAGTTACCTGCCCTGGCACAAGTTCACTTTTCTAACCCAGGCTTGTCCCAAGGATTCAGTTGCTTTAGTTGTCCTTTCCCAGATGCAGCTCGGGGGCAGAACTGGTGGGGAGGTGGGCAGGTACCCGCCACTGCACACACCACTCTTGTCCTTCCCACATCCCACTGTGCTCCCATGCTGCAGGGTGAGGTTGGACCCCTTGGAAAGGGTTAAACACCACGTGTGGGTTAACTGTGGCCAAGCCCTTAAATACCAGGGTGCACCAGGCTTGTCCTGTGAGCTGTCCTGTATTGTCCCCCACTTCTGTTTCCCAGCCATCCCTCCCTGAGTGGTCCCTGGGCCCAGTGCTCAGGAGAAGGGACAATTCTCCAGATCAAGCCAGAATCAGATCAATACGTCTGCTGGGTGTGTGAGGGCAAAATGCAACCCCATGATCAGAAATGTTGGATCAAAAATAATTTTTTGTGTGTGAGAGAGCATCTTCCTTTCTTAAAAAAAATTAAATCATTGTCAAATCTTGTTTGTTCAATAAGACCTTGGAAGGGTTTGAGCATCACTGATCCTGCAGCAGCCATGTCCTCTGCCAAACTGGGGTGGGAAGCAGTGACAGGACAGGCTTGGAGCAGCAGGATTACACGATATTTCTGTTCTCAGCTTTAGTGCTGGAGACACAGCTAAGCCAGGATCTAGGGCAGTGAATGGGGTGGGAGTTGGGGAGCTGATGGGGTCTGATATACCCTCCTTGGGTCAGCATCTCCCAGTCACCAGGGTTGAAGAGCTGTGGGATGTTTGTGGGGCCAAAGCCCGACCTGCATGATCTGAGCCACTGTAAGCAGTGCCCATGAAGGCAGTGTGAGGAGACTTGCAGGTGCGTAGGGAAAACGAGGGGATGAAGCCACCAAAAAATTTACATCCATTTTCACTTTGGCTCTGTGGATGGCACCAGCAGAAAGCAGGGACTTGAGGGCTCAATGGCAGTGAAGCAGGGCTGGCACAGACCCTTGAGGTGCAAACAATTTAACAGCAAGCCACCATTTTTGGTTTATTCTATTTGGTTCCTAAGGGATTACAATCACTGCATTGCCCCAGCTGACCCTGCTCTCAGGGGATCTGCAGGGTCTGGTTACTGCACTAGCACATACCCCTGGTGCAGACACAGACAAGGATGATCCCAGGCATCTCTGCAGGTCCTCAGGGAAGGTGAAATCCTCCTGCTTTGGTCACCCAACATAAACACACATTCAAAAAAGCAGCTCCTCCGGAGTGAATCCTCCCAGAACCCAGAAGGCAGCTGCCTGTCCCTGCTTCCATGTGTTGCTGCTGCTGGACACCTCAAGAGCAAGCGGCAGAGCTGGCAGCAGTGTCTGGCTCCTCTGTGGGCCTGGAGGTGCCACAAAAGGACTGGTGGCAGGTTAGGGCTGCTGGGGGGACTGGCTTGGAGGCATAACGTGGGGTCTCTGGATTCTTATCTGTAAAGGAGGAACAGGCCATGCTGGCAGTGTGGCATTGGCTCTGTGCTTTGTCACGGTGGCACGGATCCCAGTGCCGGCCAAAGCATCGGTGATGCTTCAGGATGAGGCACAGCTCCTGAGCTCCTTTGAGGCACAGGGCCAGGATTCAGAGCCCAGCCAAAGCTCCCAACACCCCATGGAAGCAGTAACCCGAGGACAGACCTGGAGTGAGGGATCAATGGCCTGGAGCTGCAGTTTCCAATGCCTTTCCAGAGAGTGGGAGCCTGTGGGCTCTGCTTGTTCTCCTGCCATCATTAAAGCTGGAGCAGGGAAGATGAGTGGAACTTGAGGACTGGGGTGAAGCAGAGCCTTGGTTGGGGGAGTTTTACAGGCATGTACTCACAGGAGAAGGGCCGTGTCCTCCACAAGGTCTCCTTGGCCCTGAGAGGGGAGAACAGAATAGGGAGAACATGTCAGCAGAGGCTGGGAGAACCCCTGCCTGATGCTGGTGTCTTGGTCAGATGGCAAAGGGGAGCAGTGACTGAATGCAGGGGTGAGATGGGGCTGCAAGAGGAGGAAAAGCCACATTGTGCACGCACATTTCCTGCCTTGCCACAAATGCAAATGAACCGAGGAACTTCCCAGAGATTCCTGGCTCCAGGGCTGGCAGGGAGCTGGGAGCAGAGGCAGGACACAGCTCCAGCTAGAGCCAGGGGCTTGGGACATCCCCTGGGTGTGGATGCCTCCGCAGGACCAAGGGCTGGGGAGGGGGGAAGGAGATGCTGGTTCTTCCATCCCAGCCTTGCACTTTGCCATTGTTCTGTTAACTCCCTGCCCTGCAGAAGACCAAGGTCCAATTCTTAAACTACTTTTCCTTGCTCTGGGCCAGCTCTTTCCAGACCCATGTGAATTGAAGTGGAAATCATTTGGGTGGTATGCAAATTAAAATTAAATAGAAAGCCCATCTGTAACCAAGTATTGGGTGAGATGAGGAAGAAGTGCAAACACTCCCTAACATGGGGGAAAAGGAAAGCTAACATTCAACCCACTGATGCTATTGCACCCCTGAGCAACAGATGTCTGGAAAAGAGGCTGGAAGATATTAAAAGGTCACTCAACCCCTCTCCAAGGGCAGGGTCCCCCTGCCCAAACCAGACGAGTTCTACCAGTGGTAGATCTTTCAAATGTGGATTTTTGATCAGTTTTCTCTCGACACCCAGCCTGCCACATGCCCAGAACCCAGCACCCAGCCCTGTGCCGGTCCAGCCCTGCTCACCCCTGGTGCCGGCGGCGGTGCTGGCGGCAGAGGCGCAGGGCCAGGCAGCCGAGGGCAAACAGGAGGCAGAGCAGAGCCAGGGCTCCCAGCAGGATGCCGAGGAAGGCAGCCAGGCTGATGGCCAGCCACTCACACTGGAGGCCAGCTGGAGAGTAGATGGAGAAGGGCAGGCAGCTGCGGATGGGGAGGGAGGAGCTGTGATGCTGTGGGAGAAGCAGCTGAGCAGGGTGGCCTTGTCCACCCCAGGGCTGCTGCTACCTGCACGTGGGCCCTTCGGGCAGGTGCTGGCACTGGCCACCGTGCTGGCAGTAGCCCATCTTGCAGGGGGAGATGCAGACGAAGCCAATGGTCCCCATGTAGTGGAGCTGGTAGCCTTTGTAGCCGTACAGTGAGCAGGGGAAATAGTCCCTCAGCTCATCCACTGTCACTGGGGAGGGAAAGCACACGGGTTCGGCCTTGCAGCAACACCCCTTGATGCTTCTCCAAGCTGGACCTGTGGCTGGGTTTGGGAGGCTGCCCACCCACCTCCCCCATGGGTGTGAACCAATCCCTGGGGCATAGGGCTATGGGGACAATGGGGACAGGGGGGTACTCCCCAGCTCCGCGCCAGGAGCAACTCACGCTTCACCAGGTCGGTGATGTTGTCCTGGTGCAGGCGCTGGAAGAGCAGCCCCGTGCCCGCCTCCCGCTGCCCCCGCCGCCCGTTGAAGGCGCCGGTGATGGCCGCGGGCAGCTCCTCGTTCAGGAAGCGGATGACGGTCCCGCGGCTGTCATAGGCAAACTCAGACACCACCACAAAGGTGAAGCCATCGCTGTCTGTCCTGCAGGGAAAAGAGAGGGCTGCTGGTGGAGCTGCTGCTGCCTCTCAGAGTGACTGAGCCTCACCGTGCCTCAGTATTCCCATTTGGGCGATGGTAAGGAAGGGATGAGGTAGGAGGGGAAGGTGCCAACAGACTCGTGTCTCCAAGGGTTTACAGCAGCAGGCTGGAAAAACAGACTCTGAGCTGGGGAAAAACGCCCTTTTGTGCACCAAACTCTCTGGCCCCATGCTCAGCCCTGCCCCGCCCGATCCTTGGGGGCGTCACAGGCTGCTTCACATCTGACTCACATCTGGGTGATGTTGGTGTTGCTCTGGAAAGCCTTTACCTCCAGGGAGTTCAGGATGGCTGAGACCTGCAGTGGGGGGAGCAGGAAGGGATTAGGGGAGCAGAATGACACCAGCATGGGGAAAGTTTGAAGAGAGATGCAGGAATTGTGGCCAAGCCCCAAGGGCTGCCCTGGCCTTTGGTTCATTCACTTGGCACAGGGCCACGGCTGCAGCCATCACCATGCAATTGGTGCTTCCTCCCTCTGGGCTTGTGGATCTGCTGGAGCCTCAGAGATCCCATGGGAGGGCATACAGAGGCATGGGCACTCCCAGCTGCCAAGCTGCCCAGTATGCCAGTGTGCCCCCTGCTCTGAGCCCACCCACTCCAGTGACATACAGTGCTGTTGACTTCCTCAGCAGTGGCGTTTTGCAGTGTCTTGATCCTCATCTGGATGCTTCTCCGAGGGAGACCTGCTTGGGGAAAGCCACGGTGGTGGCTCTGGTATCACAGGACCAGGGTGAGTGGGGTCGTGTTTCACCCCTCATGGGGCACAGGTACCCACCTGAGCTGGGCAGCGGCTGAAAATCCCCCCCTGCCACCACGCAGTGCTGGTCGGTGAAAGCCGGGGGGCAGGTGCAGGTGGGGACACAAGTGATGGGGTGAAGGTGGCAGCGTCCCCCGTTGCTGCAGTAGCCCTCAGGGCAGGAGTGGTAGCCACAGGCTGAGCCACAGCCTGGCCTCTCACCTGTGGGATGGAGAGCATGGTAGAGGCATGAACCTGGCTGCAGGGCAGAGCCCCAGCTCTCTGAAGCATCCTCAGCTGCTCCATAAGGCCTTTCTTCCAAGTTTTGTTTTGATTTTCTTTAATGTGTTAGGAGTTTTAGTATGACTTCAAGGAAAAGCCCCACTCCCCCTCCTTCCAGCTGGAGCCATTTGCCCTTCTTAAATCCCAGCATTAGAACAAGAGCAAAAGCCATCAACTCAACCCCACCAAAACAATCTGAAAATAAGGCTTGATTTAGCCCCCAACCTCCGCATGTGCATTTGAACTTTGCTGGGATGAGAATTTTTTTCTCAAGGAGAAAAATTGCATGGGAAAAATTTCTCTTCCCAGCGGATTAGTGAGATCGACAGCCTGGGAACACAAGTGGTGGCTGGACTCTGGTCTCTTCTGCAAATGACAGCAAGGGCTTGGGCACAGAGCTCAGGCAGCTCCCCCTTCTCTCCTCTCTGGCCAGCCTGGCTCCCTCAGGAATTCTCTTCCACAGAGCCTGGGGTGATGGGGACGAGGACCATGCCTGTCAGGGCCCCATACTCACCCTGCTCGCTGGCCAGGCAGGAGCAGAGGTAGCTGCCCACAGTGTTGGTGCAGGTGCTGTTCCCCGGGCACTCCGTCCCCTGCGTGCACTCATCGATATCTGCCGGGGCAGCGCACCATGGCACCGGGACAAGCACCTTGGCAGGGGTCCCAGTGGCCATGGTGTCAGCCCTTGTCACCTGAGCAATGCTCTCCATCCCCCGTCAGGCCAGCTGGGCAGGGGCCACAGCCACGGAAAGGGTCACATCCCACACCAGGGAAGCATCCCTGGGAGCAGGGGTCCGGAGGGTCCTGGCAGAAGGCACCTGAGTAGCCGCTCTCGCATCTGCAGGCTGCCAGCTGGGAAGGGGATAGTGACACTGGCTTAGGGAACGTGAGGAGGATGGGTGGACAGAGAAGACAGCCAGCACAGCTGGCATGGGGACAGGCACAGTGTGTTGCCAGAGGAGCTTTCTGGGACACTACCTGCAGGGAAGACTCCCTGAGAGTGACAGTGTTGCTGTAGTCACAGTCCTGGCTCCTGCTGCATCTGCAAAGGGTGAAGCGGAGCTGGAGGAGTGCAGAGATGTTGTTGGAGCCAACAGCCTCCAGGCTGATGGTGAATGGTGCTATCCCACGGGGCTCCCATATGAGGGTCCCATTCTCTGCCGGGACGACAGGTAGGAGTCAGAGGTGGCAGAGGAATTCCATCCCATTCCTTTCCATCCCAGCTGCTCCATCTCTCCTTCCTTACCCGATATGTTGAGCTCCCGTGAGAGATGGGGAATGAAGCGTGCACCTGCCCCCAAGGCATGGTACTGCCTTGTGACCTTCTCTGTCCTGAAGGCTGTGATTGATGCGTCACCGGTGATGACAGGAGGGAAGGCATCTGAGGAGAGAGCAGCCCAGCACACATGTGGCCTTGTCACCCCTTGTCTCCGGCTCCCTCCTGGTGAGGATGGGAACCCAGGCAGACGCTGTCACGGCTGCCCACCAACAAGGCCCTTATGTTGCACAGCATGGTGGCATCTCCCAGGTTTGGAGAGAAGCCAGAAATGCAGTTCCAGGAAATGCAATTCCAAAACCTTGATGGGAACTTCCTGCTGGTGGCATCTCCCAGGACTGGAGACAAGCCAGCTGGGCAGTGCAAATCCAAGACCTTGGTGACTTCTTTTCTGTCTCATATGAAGCAAGGGAGCCCAGGAAAGGAGCAGGGCACTGCCCAGTTACATCCAAGCCATGCCCTCTCAGAGGTGAGGATGTGCTCCACTTACTGAGTGCTGTCTTCCTCTGCTGGAAGTCAGCTGCAAAGCTCTGGGTGGCCAGGCCCAGGGCCAAGTTCCCTGTGCTCAGTGAATCATAGATGCACTCCTTGCTGCCACGACACTGAGAGGCCACCAGCTGGTACTGGCTTTCATTCTTCTGCCGCAGCCGAGACAAGAAGAAGGGTGTGAAGCTCAGTGCTGGTGAGTCCGGAGGCTGAGTGAACAGGCTGTGCTTCCCAACAGCCCCTGCAAGAGAGCACACCATGGGTACAGGCCATTTTAAGGTTTGTTGTATTTTAGGGTTCCTTTTCACAGAGCAGTGAGGACACCAAACACCTTCCCTTGACATTGCTTTTGCTCAGGCAAATGTTTAAAAATCTCAAGCCAAAGCATGGCCAGGAGGCGCAGAAAGGAGAGGATCATCAAGAGGGATCCTATGCCTGGACTTACAGGTCATCCCATAGCTGTAGATCTCCTCCTCACTGCTGTTCACAGGGATGCTGGTACCATTTGGCATCTGGAAGTCATCTGCAGGGTCATGGTCCCACACACCTGGTGGAGCATCACCAGAGTGCTGGAATCCCCCATGCCAGGGTTGACCTCCTCTCTGGTGCTGGCCAGTGTTTAGTTCATACCCAGGTGTCCCTGCCCTCACAAGCATGATTCCCCAGTTTTCCAGTCTACTTTGGAGTGGGAAGAGAATTTGCACCCCGGCTGTGCCAGGAGCCCTCACCCAGGAGGCCCCTGGTGCTGTTGCGGTACCAGTCGGGCAGGCTGCAGACCACGCTGAGGATCCCGGAGGTGGCTGAGACAGAGACAGCGATGGTCCCATCGAAGACGGCCGTGACAGAGGAGGCGTTGACTAGCAGGACACCAGGGCTGTAGTACACCTCGTCACCCAGCTCTGCAAGAGAAAGAGAGCACAGAGGGAGAGTCCATGCAAGGCTGGGACCTGAAATGACAACCATGGATTCCTGGAGGGGAGTGCTCCCCATGCACCCCACCCAGATCAGAGACAGGTGCAGGTGAGAGACATTTAATGGATCTCAGGATGGCTGCCCTAGCACTGGGCAGGGCTGGTCCCAGGGGATGGAGACATTTCTGGGCCCCCCCACATACATTTAGCATTTAACAGCAGACCCTGCTCACCTTGGGAATAGGAAAACTGGATGGTTTCGTTGTTCAGGAGGACTTGGATGTCATCCTGGCTCCCCAAGATCCACTCAACCTGAAAATTGTGGTAGATGTCCCAGTCAGACCCTCTGCTTGTCCCTTCCTGCTGTCCCTCCATGCTGGGAACAATTATTAACTCTGTCCTCCTCCAGCCCAGGAAGAGAGGTTCAGCCTGGGGCCTGTGTTGGTGTGTTCTTCACCCCAGCAGACACACAGTACAGCAGCTTTGATGTTTGCACAGAAGAGGACAGAGAGCTGCCTGTCACTGCTGGCAAGGGACATGCCCAGGCCACCACCACTGCTCAGCTGACCTTGACAGCACGGAGAGCTGTGCTGGGGGGCTCCCAGCTCTGAGCCCCCTCCTCATGCTGTTCAATGCCTGCTCCTGGTGACACCAGGACATTCTGCTTAATTAAGCTAAATGGCTGTGGGGAGCAATTCTGCAAAGTCAGGAAGAGCAGCCGCTTGTGCTAAAGTGTCAGGACAAGGAGTGTGCAATGGAAAAGGTGAAGCACGTCATGTTCCTCCAGAGTCTCCAGCCCTTGCTGGCCTGTTTGCAGGAGGTGTTAGACCTGTGCCTGGTGAGTATTAGTCCATTTCCCCACTAATAGTACTTTGTTAGAGTGGTGGGAGGTGGCAGGAAAAGAAGAGGAGATGCCTCTTGGGTCCCATCCACTTGTAGGTGATGCAGAGGTAATGCCCAGCTTGCCAGAGAGGTATTTCCCATTAGAGGCTCAAACTCATACCCAGGACACTCCTACTCACTGTTGTGGTGGTGTTGGAGATGTACTGGGCAGCAAAGGCCACAAAGTTGGTGGCCTGGGCCATGCCAGTCTGTGCTGTGCGCCCGTGCAAAACGAAGCTGGTCTGGGCATCACTGGCCAGCAGCAGGACAAAGTCCCCAAGCCCATTGAAGGTGTAGGTGAGTCCATCCAGGGTGGTGATGTGAGGGTCCCCAAAGGCACCAGCTGGGGTCCAAAGGAGATGGAGACATTTTGGGCAGAGGAAGAAGAACAAATGCTGGTATCATTTCAGGAAGGAGAGCAGCCCCAGAGCTGCTCAGTGGTGGCTCAGCAGTCCCCACTGGCATGTTGCAAAGCGTGGCTGAAGCATGGGGTCCATGCACAGCTCAGTGCCCTGGCACAGCAGAGGCAGAGCCTGGGGACTCACCGGGGGTGGGTGGCACGTATCCTTCACAGTCAACCCTCGGTCTCTTCTCAGCAAACCTGGCACAGAACCGGGGCTTCCCCACACGCCGGCAGCACCAGTCGAACGCTTCCAGCTCCGTGTCTGTGGAGGAATGTGATGGGGTGTGTCAGGGCCCTTGCTCTGACTGTGCTTGATGCTTGGGGTATTTTAGAGTGAGGGAATGCCAGTTCCCACTTACCAGTGGCAGTGTGGAAGGGGAGGCTCCACGCTCTCTCCTGCCAGCCTTCCAGCAAGCTCCCACCTTGGTACAGACATCGTACCCCAGCTCCGGCTGGGCTGGGGGACGCAGTGCGCAGCATCCTCACCGAGGTGTCTGCTGGGCCTGAAATAGTGTGGGGATCACAGCCGCCCCCAGAGCAGGAGGGGACCATCTCCCCGCCCTGCTGCTGCTCCTGGGGGGCTGTCCTTGGCACCTCTGCTCCAGTGGTAGCGGGGATCCAGCTCTGCCTGGGGCCGGGAGCAGGGGCATGGTGGCAGCTGGCTGTTCCACGTGGCTGGCGCTGGCTCTGTGTCCAGCCACGCCAGGCACTGCAGCCTGTAATTCACCCGGGAGCGACTGTCCAGTCTGTAAATCCACAGCCCACGCACATCTGGAGGAGCAACCAGAGAACAACACTGCTCAGCCAGGGTCTCGCCTTGTGCTGAGGGATCCCGTGGGACAGCTGTCCCTGGCCACTGACCTCACACAAGGTCTCCAGGCTCCCTCTAGAGCCAGCAGGGCTGTGGCAAGCCACAGGAGGACATAGGACACCCACAGTCTGCTCTTGGTGGCCAGCTCTTGCCCGGTGGCTTTGCTGGCCCACTACCTCCCAGGGATGCATGCTGGGGACATGCTCCTGGCACGGAGCACACAGCTCCTTCCATCCCCACCCACCCCAAGGAGCCCCCGGGGCCGTACCGGAGCCGCTGCTGCTGTGCTGGTCTGGTCGGTACTTGACAGCTGGTGGCTTCTGAGTCAGCTCGTTGTTTTGGGCATAGCCATTGCCGCTGTGTGGAGAGAGGAGGTTTGAGGTCATCCTCCCAACACAACCCTCCTCCTCCCCCCGCAGAGCAGCTGGGGTGGGAACTACTGCTGTGTGCAAAAGAAAGGGTTTAAATGGGGCAGGATTGCTCCAGGAGTGGGAGCTGGGCTCTCCCGGGGGTAATTCCTCCAACAGTCTCAACACAGTGCTGGAACAAATCTCAGCTGTCCCAAACCCCAGTGACACGCGTGCAGCACCTGGAGAAGCCGATCAGCACGTTGGCTGCAGCCAGCCTGGTGTAGTCCCAGCGCATCCCACCGTCCTGGTAGAGCAGCAGGGCGAAGGAGCGGCTCCCGTCGGTGCTGAGCACTGCCTGGTAGGTGCTCGTCTGGAGAACCCAAGGCACCCCCTTAGCACTCCCAGAGCCTCCCCTGCTCTCCCTGCAGAGCGGACTGAGGCTTGAAACAGGCACCAGCGTCCTCTCTGTCACCTGGGTCCTGCACTGCTCACCTGAGTGTCATCCCTCCGGGATGGGTATGCTGGAGCTTTCTCCCACGTCACCTTCAAGGTCCATTTTGCTGCATAGGGGATTTTTAGGTATTTCTCAATCTTTGCTTCCACATCTTGGACAATGGGGTCTTGGGTAGAGCTGAGTGTAGAGTACTCCTGCCAGATGGTAAGAGAGGGAATTAAATGAGTGAGCCGGGAATTGGATTCTCCCAGAAAACCTCTGGTGGCCCTCACCTGGTACCAAGTGGTGCCAACACCCTTAGAAAAGTCTGCATCATCCCAAAAGGCAGCCACCATTGGCAAGCTCTCCCGGCCAGTGAAGCCCCGGGGAGGGGGGTTGGGGTTGGACGGGACATAGTTGTCCGTGGGTGGAAAAATGATCTGTCCGTTATCTGTAAACTAACCAAAAAACTTGTTATTTGCTGACTGGGATAGCTTTTAGCCTCCATGGGTAAACAGAAACCAACCATTTTAAATGTTAAAAGATAGATTAAATTTGATTTCTGCTCCGTTTCAATGTTTGGGGTTTTTCTACCAAAAAGGCAGCACATCCATTATGTGCTCACCAAAGGGGGCACTCACATAGAGAGCATCTCGCAGTGACTTCCCAAAGGGAAATCCAATTTCTGGCTTGAAGAGGGGTGAGTTAAAATCCACCATCCTCCGGACGTATTCTTGATCCCCTCCTTCCACGCCAAAGGGGTAGAGTGAAGTCGCTGGCTCTGCCATGGGCAGGAGATCAATGAAAAAGGTGTGAAATCATTAATGTCTGCTTTATCCATCCTGCAGCCAGGACAAACCCACCTGCTTGCTGCCAGGATGCTGTGCCTGTGCTCTGATGGATTGTAATCCAATTCTCAACCCACTTTTGGGATGCTCTCAAATATCCTATTTTGTCTTTTCCCATTAATCTGGCAGCCCAATGTGCAATGCAGATGAGATACCCCAGACCAGGCCACACCCTTGTCCATCACAATGCTTGACTGGCTGAAAACACCTTTCCTGCTCTTGTCCTTGGGAAAAATAAAATCTACTTACTGATAAGCTCATGGGTGGGTTGGGGCTCAGGTGCAGGAATTCTGTGCCCAGTGGTGGTGTGGGCGGATGTGCTCAGTTCGGTGGACGGTCCTCTCTGTGTCCCAAAGGTGTGAGACAGGGTGGTGGCAGGGCTGGTGGTGGCTGGTGGTGTCACTGGTGCCGTGGTGCCTGGGAGACTTCCCTCCTCCTTGGCTGGGCTCACGGGGGCTGGGGATGCAATAGCTGTGGTGCCTCCTGCAGTGGTGGCAGCACTGTTCCCTGCAGTGGTGGCAGCGGTGCTGTCTGTAGTGGTGGCAGTGGTGGCAGTGGTGCTGTCTGCAGTGGTGGCAGCGCTGTTCCCTGCAGTGGTGGCAGTGGTGCTGTCTGCAGTGGTGGCAGTGCTGTTCCCTGAAGTGGTGGCAGTGGTGCTGCCTGCAGTGGTGGCAGTGGTGGCCGTGGTGGCAGTGGTGCTGCCTGTGGTGCTGGCCATGGTGTTCCCTGCAGCAGTGGCTGTGGTGCTGCCTCTGCTGATGGCTGTTTTCTCCTTCCAGGCAGGTGCCCCTGGAGATGTCTGGAAGGCAGGAGGTGACGTGCTCGCTGCTTGTCCCATGTCATGGTAGCTGATGGATGCAGGAGAAGTGGTGCCTGTAGCTGACTCGGTGTGAGTCTGTCCAGCTGCTGCCACCCCAGTTGCACCAACACCAAGCAGGGACAAGGGGGCTGTTGCTGCCTCCTCTGTTGGGCTGTGCAGGCTGGGGAGGGGAGAACCAGACACTGCAACAGCAGTGCTGGGACCAAGGACGCCCCAGGGTCCCAGAGTTGTCTCCACCACGGGGGTCCGTGCTGCTGGGGGTGGGACAGGCTGCCCACCTCCGCCTGTCTCGCTGTGTGTTACAGCAAGGGATGGGGCACTGCTGCTGCTGGTGGCCCGTGCTGTGGCAGGTGGCATGGCTGTGGTGACACTGGTCACAAAGGTCTCCCAGCCTGTGGAGGTGGTTGGCAGGTTAGCGTTGCTGGGGAATGTGCTGGTGGATGGTGTAGTGGCCAGCGTGGTGGCCACGCTTGTGCCACTGGTGTTGGAGTCAGGGACACGGGTACTGCTGGTGTTGGCTGCACCCTCAGTGCTGCTCTCAGAGCTGGTGATGTGCACATGGGCGGTGGTGTCCACATGGGCCGTGGTGTCCACATGGGCAGTGGTGCCTGTGGCACCTGTCTGGGATGCAGCTGTAGCCTCCCACACATTTGTGTGGCCAGCAGCCAGCGAGGAGATCCCAGTGGTGGGCTTGTTCTCAGTGGCAGGCGGCTCTAGTGATGGCCTGGCAGTGACAATCATGTGGCTGGGAGCTGGCTCTGCTGCACTGGCACCGGGGTTCTCCTCCGTGCTCACCTCCAAGAACCCCATCGCTCGCCCTGTGGTGCTGCCATTGGGCTGGGGGTCACCTGAAGCCCCCATTGCTTGCAGTGGGGCAGCCAGGGGCAGTGGGGATGTGACTGGTGCCATCTCTTGGGAGATGCTGGATGGGGACACCTCCAGAGCCATCCCTGCATTGGCTCTGTCTTCCAGGAGAGGGGGGACGTCTGTTTGTGATGCCATGGGGACAGTGACTGCTCTGGGTCCCCCAGGGGTATCTGATACAGCTCTGCCCATGCCTGTGTTGGGTGATGGCATCTCTGTCCCTGGAGCTTCCACAATTTGAGACCCAGCCCAGAGCACTGGGGTTAGTGCAGATCTGGGTGTGACGCCAGTTCCTGGGGTTGTTGAGCCTGCTGTGGGACCTGGCTGGCTGTGGCTGGAGTGTGCATCAGGCACAGGCAGGGTGGCTTCGGTGTCCCCCGGTATTGTGGTGGCACTGCCACTGGCCAGTGATGCTGATCCCATCCCTGCTTCACTAATTGGAGCGTTGCTAACAAAGGAGGATGGATGGGTAGCTGGCACAGTCCCAATGCCAAATGCAGCGGTGGAAGGTGGTGGTGCAGCAGCAGCAGCTCGAGGGTCACCGTCTGGCTTTGCTCCAGTGGTGCCGATGAGGGACAAAGGCATGGCCATGCTGGGAGTGGCTGAAGATCTACCTGCAGCAGCCTCTGCTGTGGTGGTCCCAAAGCCTGTTGAGAGGGACTGAGGGAGCAGAGAGCCCACGGAGCGTGGAAAGGGCCTTGGAGAGGGACCATCAGGGTCTTTGAGAGCTGCATGGGGGGACAGACTCATGCTGAGCCCCCCTGGTGTGTCCTTGGTCTCTGGGATGGCAGTGCCTGCTGTGGCTTTGGTACTGGCCTCATTCCTGATGGACACCAGCTCAGTACTGGTGGTTCCCAGAGGTGGGATGTGCTCTCCAGCTACGACATCCATTACTGTAGCCAGTGTGCCTGCAGCTTGTGTGGTGGCCTGGGGTTGGTTGGCAGTGCTGCCTGCAGGCAGCCCATGTCCAGCAGCGCCCGGGGCTGCACTGTGGCTGGGGGGGAACGTCCCTGCTGTGCCCAGCACAGCATCCTCAGGAAGCTGGGGCAAAAGGGCTGGAGGCAGCTGAGTGGGAGGCCCAGGAGGGTCCTGTGAGGCACTGTGGTCAGCGTTGGGTAAGGTACTTGTCCCTGGCTCTGCAGCCTTGCTGGTGCCAGTGGTGATAGAAGACAAGGCTCCTTCTGCAGCTGTGTCAGGGGGACTGGCTGAGGCTGCTGCCATCTTCATGGGGCTGCCCCTGTCCTGAGAGATGCTGGCAACTGTAGCCAAAGGTGAGGTGGCCTCATCCAGCCCCAGTATGACCTCCTGGGACAGGAGCATGGCAGTACTACATGGCTCAGCAGAGCTCCTGCTTATGCTGGGGGATGATGTCGATGTGCTGTGCTCATCCTGGGGGAGCAATGGCTCTGTGGTCCATGCTGTCACTGGCATCTGCTCCACGGTGACAGCACCCAGGGCAAGACCCACTGTGTGCCCCTTTGGCTTGAAGGACAGAGGCTGCATGTGCCAAGTGGTGGTGGGAGCTGGAGGGACGCCGGTTGGGTGGCCAGCAGCACCTGCAGAGGCAAGCCCAGCCCCTGACCCTGCCTGGGGGCTGCCTTGCATTGCTGGACCCCCAGGGAGAGCTGCAGGGCTGGGAGGCCCCTCCTGCTCACCACTACTTCCAGCTGGGACCAGCCCCCTCTCTGTTTCCTGAGGCACCAGGATGCCTGTGGAGCGAGACAAGGCAGCTCCAGCTGGATCAGCCCCGCCGCGGTCCCAGCAGGCAGGAACCTGCCCGCGGCCAGCTGCCTGCCGGCCTTACCTGAGCTCGGGCTGCCCGCGGGGGCGGCGGGCGGGCCGGGGGGAGAGGGGAGCTCTGCCCGTGCGGCGCTGGGGAGCTCCGGGCACACGGCCAGCTCTGAAGGCAGCTCGGCGCTGGTGCTCTCGGCCACATGGGAGATGCTGCCCGACTCGGATGGGTCCAGCGTGGGGACAAGGGGTTGCCCCTTCATCTCCCCGGCTTGTGCAGAAGGCAGGTGAGGGCAGGATGAGGAAAAAGCCAGCCCGGAGTCACCATCACCCCCAGCCCTCCTCCCTTCTGCGGGAGGACCAACACCAAGAACAGGACAGGGACCTTCCCCGAGGGTCAATCTCTCTATTTGATCCACAATTCCCGCCACCTTCCTCTGCTGCAGCTGGGGACCGTGACAAAGCTCTGGCACCCGCGGACAGGGACAGGACAAACCCCGGCCGGGCACTCGGGCTCCAGGGCAGCCTTGTAGCCGCCGGAGGGTTGCTCGCAGCCCATCACCCACACGGTATCAGCCACCTGGTCAGCCCGGCAGCAGTGCGAGGGACCCTGGCACTTACCTGGCAGCACCCAGAACCCCCACAGCACCCAGCTCCAGAGCGGCCACGGGCCCCGGCACCCCATCGTGCTTCTTCGGTGTCAGGAAGGAAGGCGACACGGCTGCAGCTCTCACCTTCTCAAGGGAGCGTGCAAGGGTGACTCCGCCGGTGAGCACTCCTCCAGGTGGGGGGGACAGGGACACCACGTGCCCTGCCTGGGGCACTGACGTCTCTGTGTCCTCGCAGCCTGCGCTGAGGTGGCAGCGTCCCAATTCCGGGCACCCACTGATGCTGGGGGCCACACCCATTTTGCCATGGGAAGCTTTAAGGTCCTTTCCAGGCCGACCCCACTGTTGACAGCCCGCGGCTGGGGTCCCCAACCCCTGAGGAGCCACCCCGGGGGGTTCAAAGTCACTTGGCCTAAAGACAATGGGATGGCAGGTGGGAACAGGGGTCCCAAACATCTCTGGGAGAGGTGGGTCAGTCCTGGGCTCTGCACCCCCATCCTGGTTGCTGTCAGGTCCCTCCACACTTGGCTGCACGGCTGATAACCCCTGGCAGGGGTTGGCTTGTCACCAAGGAGGAAGAAGGAAGGAGCAGGCTACGGCTGGTGCCTTGGGGTCCCACGTATTGACCCTGCCCTGTCCCCCCTTCGGCACTGCCGGTCGCAGGCGTTATCTGCACATCGCGGCAAACGCCCACACAAACCCGGATGGAGTGGGGGGAGTGTCCCCGCACAGGTGGCGGGGCCAGGCACTGCCCTGGGTTACAGGTCACCTTCCACCAGCGACAGAGGCCGGACAGACCCTGCTGCGTGAACGGAGCCAGTGAGGCCACTGCAGCAAATGTGTTTGCTTCTTCACAA